AGTCCGACAGCAGACCGGCGGTCGATTGAAGATTGTCTTCAACGGTGGTGGTGCTGTTTCCCGATCCACCCAATCGTTCATCTGCAATGCCCTTGTTACCATGATCCAAGGTGGGTCAGCCATGCTCAACCTTTTGGCATGCCACTGATGACAGGTTACGGTCTCACCGAATCCACTGCCATGGCTTGTATCCTTAACCCAGGCTGGATGCAATACGGCTCGGTCGGAGGACCTGTCCCGGCTGCCGAGGTCAAGCTGGTCGACGCCAAGGAAGCCGGATACTTCTCGACCAACGACCCTCCCCAAGGAGAGATTTACGTCCGAGGTCCCGCGATCTTCAAGGGATACTTCAAACGACCTGATCTGGACAAGGAGGCCTTCACCGAGGATGGATGGTTCAAGACTGGAGATGTTGGACAATGGAACAAGGACGGTACATTGTCTATCATCGATCGAATCAAGAACCTCGTCAAGCTCTCGGGAGGCGAATACATTGCCATCGAGCACCTCGAGTCGATCTACAAGTCTTGCCCTCTTGTTGCCAACGGTGCGGTCCTCGCCAACCAAGAGCACAACCAGCCTGCCATGGTTGTCGTCGCCCACCCGCAGAACCTGCCGGCCTTTGCCAAGAAGAACGGCCTGGGAGACGGCGAGGACCTCGAGCAGCTGTGCAAGGATGAGAAGGTTGTCAATGCCGCTCTCAAAGAGCTGAACAATGTCGGAAGGAAACAGGGACTCAAGGGAATGGAGCTGCTCGAGGCGATCGTGCTTACGCACGACGAGTGGACACCGGAGAGTGGTTTCCTCACCGCTGCGCAGAGTGAGTCGACCTGTTCCTCCATTACACTGATGGATCATATGGCTGATGGGCAGAACTCCAGCGAAAGATCATCGAGAAGCACTACGCGGACCGCATTAAGGCTGTTTACAACTAGTGCAAATTGCGATACACGCCGGAGATGGCGGGGTGGTCCCTTTTTTTCCTGTCAATAATACCATAGCGAGCGTGGAGGAGAGGTCGACAGATTATTACTGAATATTGATGCCAGATGGAGATGTACAGTAACCAGCATCCATGCGACGTCGTCTTCTCAGTCCCATTTCTACAGTAATAATTCCTGGTGGCCTCATCATTTACTCCTCGTCCTCATCCTCATCGTCATCCTCCTCGCCTTCGCTCACGTCCAAACCCTTCTCCTTCATCCTCTCCTTGTCTCTCTTTCGTTTCTGGCTGAGCTCCTCGAGCAAGACGAGCAGATCTTCATGCTCCTTCTCCCCTTCTTCCCGCTTCGCTCGTTCCTCCTTAAGCTCCGACTCAAGCGTCTCGAGCTTCTTCTCTAGCTCCTCCATCTTCTTGGCATCGGCGTTGTTTACCCCTTTGCCCTTCTTCTTCTTTCCCCCTCCACCGCCGGTAGTCTCGTCCTTGCTCTCCGCCTCGAGCTCTTTGACCTTGCTCTCCAACTCGGTCTTCTCCTTCTCGAGAGTCTCTTTCGCCGTCACCAGATCCGCCTTTTCCTTCTCCAGCTCTGCCTTTTGTTTCTCAAGATCACTCTTCTCCGACTCGGTGTCCGCGGACCGCTTCGCGCTCTCTTTCTCTGCTGCTTCCAGCTCGTTCACCCTGCCCTGAAGCTTGGCATTCTCCCCCTCGAGCTCCTCTATCCTTTTGTGGGATTTGCCGAGCTCCGCCCGGACTTCGTCCAGCGCGCTAGAGTCCGCTCCTGCCGTTACCAGCTTCTGTCGTGTCTCCTCGAGCTCCTTGGACAGCTTGTCGAGTTCCGCCGCGTGAGTCGACGTCAGCTTTTCGAGCTCGGCGCCGTGGCCCTCTCGTCCCGTCTCGGCGGTCTGTAATGTGCTGCTGAGCGAGGCAACTTGCTCGGACAACGACTGGACCTCGGAAACGAGCGTGTCCTTCTCCGACTTGTGCTCCTTCGCGATCGACGACAACTTTGATTGGAGCGTCACCACCTCGTCAGTCTGCGCCTTGAGCTTCTGTCGGAGTGACATGATTATCGCCGCGGTCTCTCCGTCATCGGCTGTCACGATTAGCGGTGCGAGTCGTGCGGAGATAGTCGACTCACTGGTAGGTCCTCGGACCGCGTCGGGATCAATGGCTATCGATCGCTGGATGGTGTCTGACAATGAGCACCATGTCAAGCCAAGGGACGAGTCTGCTCACAATAGTGGTTCTTCCAGAAATCAACAAATGCCCAATCGAACCACAGCTCCAAGCCCTCCTCAGTCTCTTCCTCAATCTCCTGCGGCGGGAACTGTCCGTCCGGAGCGGTTTCATGCTCGAAGGCGTCGGGTTGGACAGCTCTGAATCGGGGATCCTCACGCAGTCGCGCCATTCGGGAGACAAACTGATCCGGGCCAATGCGCGAGTGAAGGATGGGATGGAGTGTCGCACGGGTGATCTCTCCCGGCTCCCGGTTGAACTCATAGCACACACCGAGGAGGAATGCACTGAGTCCCTGGACAAGAGGATCGATTCCAGTGGTTTGCGTGATCGGTTGGATGAGCTGGTCTTAGCCCTCGTCGTTGTCGGTGCGCCTGTTCGACTTACCACTTGCAAGTTGGCGCTCTCGCTGAGGAACTCTTTGACCGTCTTCGGGCTATCCCACAGCCAGGTACACAGCAACACGAGGTATCCGACCATGACCCTCGTCCAATCCTCCTCTTCCGTCGAACCTGGAACCTTGCCCTCCTTGGCTGCTCGGTTGACACACTCTGTCTGCTCGCGCGCGGCCATCATGAGGTTGCCAACGACAAGCTGGACCAGGCCGACCTTGTCTTCATCATCCGCGCCGTCAGCATCCCCTGTGGGGACGGTGATCTCGCGCGCCAGCTTCTTTGCATGCTCCGAGTTCCGGACAAGATGGGACAGCAGGAGACAAGCGAATAGAGAGCGGTATGGGTCAAATGGCGCGTCGGGCGAGGTCGGGAGGTCGAGGAGTCCGGATAGAATGATGGATCCAGCGGATTGTTCGATGAACTCTCCGTTGGGATCTTGCTGAGGGGGTTCGGCGAGAGAGGTGAGGATCTCGATACGGGCGTCGTCGTTTCCAGTAACGTAAGCCTGGAATCAGCATCATTCTGGGCGCGATATAGCTAAACCCACTTCGAACAAATTGACGCCTGCTGCACGGGATCGCAGTCCACGACCTCCAGCAGTCGAGTCGCCTTCGACCACCGCCGCTATCAGCGCAGAGACGGCTGCACGAGGTGGGACTCGCATGAAGCCTCCGTTTGGATGCTCGTCGTCCGCGTGAATAGGCATCAAAGGCGAGAGGACAAGGGAGGAAAGGAGAGTCTGGTTGGGGACAGAGGAGGTGATAATGGGGGTGAGGGTATTGAGCGCCTGGCTCTTGAGTACGCTTGGAGCGTTGGAAGCGAGGGCCAGCTCGACGAGGCACCTCGTCACGCCGCCAGAGACCATCGCCGCCTACTGTCAGCTTACGCCCATCCAGCATTCGATAGCTTGCTTACCTGGTTTCCACCCCCCGGTCCGCCGATCAGCGATCTGATCAAGCCCAGGACCAATCCCGCGTTGTATAACTTCTGCTCGGGCCAGAACTGCAGAGCGAACTCGTCGGGGGAAGGCGCATCTGGGGCAAGACCCGCCGGGAAGCCCAGGATGGGTGGGATGGAGGGGATCAAGGAGAGCTCTCTGAAGTAGTTCTGGACGTCAGTATGTGAAGGCTTGACCGTCAAGGAATGTCACTCGCCTGGTTCGAGACGTTGAAGCGCAACAGTCCCGCGACGACGGTCATAGCGTCCTGCACGACGATCCCTCCATCGCTTCCTCCCTCTGTGCCAATAATCTCGAAGAGCTTTTCAAACGCCCCTGAGAATGCGACAATCTTCTGCAAGTCGGGATTGCCGGCGAGCATATGAGGGAGCAGTAATAACGCCTCGTTCCTCAACATCTCGCTTGCACCCCCGCCCATCCCGCTCAAACCACCTGTTTGTCCGCCTTGGCTGGGCGCGTTTGTGTCCAACACCGACAAGATCCCGTCGACACCAGGAGGCGGGGAGGACATTATGTATGATTGCGCGACGGCTGGCCGGGAGGTAAGGAGCTGAGAGAGGTATTGAAGGGCGTAGAACCGGGGGTAGAAGGAAGGAGAGTTGGACAGCAGGGCGAGGAGGGAGTGTAGCGGCTCGGGAGTCTCCAGGAAGGCATCGGTGAACCGTAACCCCAGGTCATCCTTGGTTGGCTGCTGCTCAGCCCCAGCATTCGAATACAATAGCATGAGACAACTAACCTTCTCAGCGACTTCGGACAATTGCATGAGCGTTTCCAATGCCGCCTTGGCTATCTCGGTATCAAACGGCGCATCGTGTTGCAACACCGCGATCAGCGAGGATAATGATCGATTCCCAACCTCCTGCCCTTGTCAGCGCCCAAAACCCAGCTGTGCCGATTGACAGACCTCTCTCCAGTCTCTGCTCAGACCCTTGAGACCGAGGACAGCAGTTCGGCGGTCCTCGACCGCAGCGCTGGTCTGTATCCGCTCAACGAGTTTATCAATCGTATCCGTCGCTGTTTGGGGCACACCCAATTCCCCTCTCAGCGAATTATACGCCGACGACAGTCTGGAGCCAAAGAGGGTCCCTAGCTGTTGCGCAGCTGCCATGGTATGGAGTTAAGGGGAGGGCGGCGGGGTGATGTATCAGTGGAGAAGGGGTGCAAGTCGATGTGAACGTGGAACGGGTGAGAGCGCTTGTTCCGGTTCAGACGCGACTGGACTTAGTGGGAGGTCGGGTGCCACGCTACGCTCACCACCCTGGATCGTCAATAATAACAATAACTTTCAGTCATGAAACCAACGACAACCATTCTCGTACATTCCCCGGCAACCCTCTGGAAGTCATGTAAAGAGATGATGGCGAGATTGCACGCATGGAATCGCCTCGAAAGGTATGATATCTGGTCAAAAAGGACCTTGCTGAGATCGAGGATGGGAGCCAACCGGGAGCCGTAAAAAGCAAAAATGAAACGACACCTGTGAGATTCGAACTCACGCGACTTACGTCAACCGCTCACAGCCAATAGCAAGCGATCGCCTTAAAACCACTCGGCCAAAGTGCCCATGAGAATTTTTCAATTCAATTCGATGTTTGGTTTCTCACTTTGGACGTATATATACAGCAAGAGGTGTCGACCCCTGAATTAAGGTCGTGTTTTAGACGTGTTGTGACTTCAAAGTATAGTTCAGCGCTTGTGCCCGTGGTGCATGCTGCTCGGGGCGGACCAGCCTGGCACCCCGCATCTTAGCTCCTGATGCGATCTTTGTTCCACGGTGCTTTACGGAGGAGTCTGGGCACCGGCCGTTGCCCGCGTGTTGAAGTGCTGGTCAGCGATGTGGCCTGGGGCATGGTTCGCGCGAGGCGCATGAGGCTGACTACCAAGGTGTCGAGTCTGACCGGAGCGGTGTACTTGGCTGTTTCTGCGATGTGTACGGCCGACCCTACCTTAGGATCAAACCAGCAACGCAGTAAATAACCCAGAGGGCGACACGCCGCGTTGCCTGTAGAGAATCGCTTTTGGGGTTGACAGGCTCTCCTTCAAAGCTGCCGGTTGGAACCCTCGATCCCATCGGCGGAGCCTCCCCGGGAGCGCCTCGCGCGTCTTCCACTCCTTGCGAGACCTTCAAATACCCGGCCACGCTGTGACTCTATCTTACATGCGGGTGGACCACGCCAGATGACTCTCCTCAATCCCTTTCCCCAATCAGTCTTTGTTGCCACTGCAGACGAAATAGTCCACGCTGAGGATATCCCTACACAGAAAGGGACCGTGCGGAAAGACTGAGTGAAACGCCAGTAGATAGGACTCAAAGGAGGTCAAGGAACGTGCAAGAGCAAGCAAGCCTGGGAGCCCCAGGCGGACCACACCGCAGGATGAGAACTATCCTCGGTGCTCAGCTCCTCCTGGGAGATTGGCCACGAGGGCGTTCAGCTTGTCCTTTAGTCCATCTGGGTGGACCTGAGGGATGATGGTGTAAATGGCGATTTCTGAGCAGTGGCGAGCGAATAGTAGAAGGAGCCCAAAGCGAGCGAAGCCGAGGTGGAAGTAGGAGCCCGAATGTGGACTTGGACTTGTTTCGAGGTCTTCCGGAGGTCTGGGCTACAAGTCACCTAACCCAGCTCAAGCTCGCTACGAGTCCACGGCATGGTGGATGATGCGTGGACGGGCGGTCGGGATGCGACGGTCGCCCCTTTCCCTGTTATATCAGCGTTTCCTGGCGATAAGTGATCAGGCCTGTTCACGTTCGAGGCACATGGTGTCGATTGATGGCCTGAAGGTCATACCCGTCCGACGATTTGGTTCTGTGTCGTGTGTCGTGACGAAGGTCGCTTTCTGACATCTCCTCGTGCCGTCGACGGCCAATGTGCAGCTAGACCATCGGTGGCCACGGTAGTAGCGGTGACGGGGGGTTTCCACAATCACCGGTGCTGAAGGTGATCGCAGGGCTGTACGACAACACTGGCTGCTCTTAGCTATGTATAAAGCGATGCACTGACATACCTGGTTGCTCTTGACTCTGAATAAAGCGATGAGAAACAACCAGATCGAGCTGAACTAGTAAAAGGGGAACCATCATCAACTCAAGAGGCCTCCGACGCTGCGGAAGGTATCGGATCACTGGTCCGGTAGGTATCGGATCAGGGTGTCACAACATCATGCTTCCTTCACAATCGGGGCCTAGAGCGGTGAAAGGTAGTCAGGTGATCCTAGGTCCTTTCGTGCATGAAGGCAGTATGCTATGAAGGGATCCATCAAGTGAGATGCATGTCTACCCGGGACGGATCGGCTCCCACTGAGGCAGGCTATCCCGCGCAGACGACCATGCTATCCATGGAGCAAATGTCTCTTCTAAGGAGTGGCTCAATAGCCGCAAGTTTGGGTCTCGGGTGCCTCTTTCGAAGGGGGCACATCTTGCTTCAGCATTTCACAGTCAGTTGTCCATCATATGGTCGGCATCCCCACTCATTGATTCCGTTCCCCGTATATCTCCCATTCGTCCCTTAGTGCCGCGAGTCACAGAGGTCGAGTGAGAAAGCATGTCGAGAACAGTCCTGAGATCCGGCGCCAGGTCTATCGAGACCGGCGGGATCAAATGGACCATTCCCGTGGGGCTCCGTATACTCTCAACCCTCGTCAACGGGGACGCAATCCGTCACGAATGTCCAGTACCGAAGACCTCTTGACTTTGCCGGTGCGGCGCGCGCACTTCTTGTCACCCAACCTTTCCGTCCAAGATGGCGGCTGTAGCGTCCCACAGAGAATTTCTCTCCACTATAAAAGCACGGCAGCGTGCTCGAAGAGAGGCATTGAATCCAACGCGCGATTTCCCACCCACCCCCTCCCTCACCTCGCCTTCATCCTCCACGCTGTCGTCATCGACGGTCTCCAAGGCGAACGTGACGAATTATGTCCCAGAGGAGGAGACTGTGCGGAACGACTATACCGCATGGTACAACCTCTCCGGCCGACCTGGTGCCGACTACATCCTCGGCGCGAGGGACGAAGAGATTTGCGCAGAGTGAGCGGATACCGCCTTGTCCACCCGTGAATCTGCATTCAACTCACCTTAGATACCCCGCTTTACGCCGCTTGATGGATCTGAAAGCGCAACTGGCCGATGAACACGCCCATCCGCCGCTGTACCTCCCCTTGCCTGGCGGGTCTGCTAGCGACGTGTACACCGCGACCGGTCCGAACCGATTCGACGTCATTCTCATCACTCCGAATGGATCATGGGAGGAGACGGCGGCATTGCCTATCCGGAGCTTGTCGGCTGATCCTGGATTTGTCTTCCTATGGGTCGGGCGGGGCGACCAGGAAGGTCTGGAGAGAGGTCGGGAGTGTCTCGCCAAGTGGGGCTTTCGACGTGCCGAAGACATTTTATGGGTCAAGACGTCTGGACGGGACGGTCTGCGCGAGGGAGAGGAGGGTCAAGCGGAAGAGGGAATGGGAGGGGGAGGGTTGTTTGCGAGTCAGAAGGAGCATTGCTTGATGGGCATCAGGGGCACTGTGCGACGCAGCACCGATACGAGATTCGTCCATTGCAACGTCGATACCGACGTGATGATCTGGGAGAACAAAAGTGAGTTTGACGATTGTCCCTGACCGTGGCTATCGACGGCCATGATCCACGAGCAAGAGCTGACACACATCTTCCACCCACAGACGGCGAGGCAAAGTTCCCGCCGTACCTCTACACCCTCATCGAATCCTTCTGTCTCGGTACCCGACGCCTCCAGCTGTTCACCGGCCCCGCAACAAGCCGTCGCGGCTGGGTCACGGCTTCACTAGAACCGACTCCAGACGGATACCAGCTCTACGACCCCTCGACGTATCCTCATCAAGTGGAAAGTCCTGAAGGTCGAGACGTCTTGCCCTTCTCCCCAGAGATCGACTCCTTGCGCCCGAAATCGCCCGTTAAAACCGCCCGAAGGGGTCCGAACGCCGCTCACACCATGCCGGCCAACCTCCAAGCCTACCCTTCTTATCCTACTCAACGGAACTATCAGCCCCGTCCATCGCCACGACCAACCCATCCCTCCTACCCTCCCCCTCATCAGGGACCCAAACCGCCCAGTATGTCACTCAGAACCGGTCCGCCGCCTTTCCTGCCGCCCGGACACGCTTACTCCAATGTCCCTCCACGCCCCATGCCGCCAACTCATCCATCCGAGATGGACCGCACAGGTCCAGCCTCCAATGTGTACCCTTATCCCGTCCAAGCTCCCGGAGCGAACGTCAGAGGGGCAATGCCAGCAGGACTGCCACACGCTCAAGTGGCGCTCGACCCGTATGCGGGACGGGTTGACCCCCAAACGCTCGCAATGCTGAGCATGGCTATAGGCGGAATGAGCCATACAGCCTACGCCTCCAGTGGCCAGTACGATCCGCAAATGGCATACGTCATGGCGCAGATGCAGCACACGCAGATCTCGGGGACGGCACAGATGCAACCACCGGCACCAGGGGCTTTCAACCCTTACGAGCGGCTGGGGCACGGGTACAGGGATGCTTCGCCGGGGATGTGGTACCCCCCCGGAGCGTATAGAGGGTGAAGTACGAACCTTGGTGCGCAATTTCACGACGCGACGATTCTCCGTGGATTGATCCTTACGAGCTTACGATTTCACGAGTCGGGGTGAGATAGACACTTGTTATGAATGTATTGTACCGGTTCGCATTGAGCAATGCAGTGCAGAGTGCAGAGCCGGATCGAGCCGATCGACGCGGTCGGAACGGATGCCACATTGAACATGCAGCAACAAACAGTCGAGTGATGGATGCGGTTTGCATGGGGTTCTAATTCGGATGCTAAGCTACACGATTTAACGGGAAAACAAAAAAGTTGAATGGCCAAAATCAACCGGACGTCTCTCCTATACTCGCCTTCCCCCCCCCCACAATCGGCCCGTCCACCTGACCTTGCCCTACATCATGTTCTCCTCTGTGTATCGATCTCTCGCCGGGCTTGCGAGCCCGGCCATCCTCATGCGTCTTTGCAGTGTATCTGCTAATGGTATCGATGCAAGTCTGAAATTATGCGCCTTTCGGGAAGCGTGGCGAGAGGTGAGGGAGGGTCGATTGTGGTAGGAGTACCCTCACGTTCCCCAACCCTTATTCTTTAGTCTGATGACTCGAGCGCCTCGGACGAGAGGCAGCGGAAGTAGATGTCGAGCCCGGAGGCGTCTCGTCCTCAGGGGTAATCACGTCGACAGCGGTCGATCTCATTTTCTTGAAACTGGGTCGCTTGGCCAAACCGGCGGCGATGGCGGCTCTCGCCCCTGCGGCCGTGTTCTCTGGAACCAGCTCCGTTGGCGACGCTCGGCGCTTGTTGGGACCTTCCTCGTCGGTCGAGAAAGATGTGCCATGGGAATTGGCCGATTGGAAGGCAGGTCGGTCCTCGATCGGCAGCTCTTTGCCCAATCGCCGATCCTCATCCACCATGTCCAGATAGATCTGCACGATAGCTGCGCGTCAGCAATATTCCATTTTGATTTCTGCCAAAACTCACCTCGGTGGACGTAGAGGTACTGCCGGAGAGATTGGACCAGACTCATCCG